TCCCTTACCCCAAACCCCCACCACCCAACAGATGGACCGTGTATTACGACGGAATGAGTAGCAGTGACGTCCCTGTTTGGAGTTTCATCGTTGTACCTACAATCGACACGGTCACATGCTACTTATTTCGAACCGGCCATAGTTCTGTTTTCGGCCGAAATTCAATCCACTAAGCCGCCAGGCACCCACGAGGGGCGAAAGGGTTAGTCTACTCTCGCGAGCCCTATGCAAGCGCCTGGTGCGCAGGCCGCGCCGTTGCACACGCGTGCCCCGTGGCGTTGCCTATGCCCCTTCCGCAGGCGCGAGGCTGACGGTTAAAGTTCGCAAAGCTTGCTATTGAACGAGTACAGATCTACAGAATGGTCCACCGACATCTTCCTTTATTTTCCTTGTACTGTTCCGCACGCACGGAGCCATGGCGCACAGTGGTGGACGAACGGACGGCAAGCCCTCCGGCTCCCTGTACACTTTAGCGGCGCGATCCCTGCACCTCCGGCACACCGCGGCCCAGGTAGGCCCAGGGCGGGATCAGTCCATCAAGGGGGACACACGGAATGTGCTCACGACCACCGACGCCGAGCTTTTCACGCGGCCATTAAACTGGAAGCTGTCCCTCGTTGCCTTTAATGCACACTTTTGGGCCCGGGGACGTCGTTGGACTGCTGCTGCACGTCGAGACCAACATGTGTAATGTGCTGTCGAGGTCTTTGCCGCGAGGTTCAGGCGCAGTGTCACCACCTGTGAGGTGAGGAGGACAGCAACGGGCAACGGGTGCAGGGCGGACTCTCGCAGCGCTCCGACACAGTCAGGTCACTGGTCGACCACATCCTGTCGACTTCCGAGTGGACTTACCCACCGTTGGCAACGGTCCGCGCGGCCTTCTCTCCTGGGTCCGCACGGACCACAAGATGGTCTGGGGTGCGCTCCGGATGCCACGCCTAGACGGCCTACCAGCTAACATTCCAACCAGATCGCGGGCGTGCACAGCCGGTGGACGGGGTCGTCCTGAAAAACGGGATGCGGGTATCGAACAGGTGCACCCACAAAGCCCGTCGCTGGACCGGCCTCAGGATGTTGTGCAGCGTCAGGACCAGCAGGGCGACCACCTGGAGTCACTCGAGGAAGAGCCCTGCCCAGCGCCGCTGGCACCAGCCGCAGCCCATCTCGCGGGCTTCGCCAGGTCCATCTCCAGGATCACCGCACCCGGCCTCGACTCGCGAGTCCCGTTCGAAGCGTGTAGTCGTCGTAGCTGCACTTCCCCGCCGTTCCATTGAAAAGTAGGGGGGGGGGGGGGGGGCTTCATCGAACTTCCGCTTTTCTGTTTCTGTTCTTCTAAATCCGCGAGTGCGCACCTTTCGGAGCACCATAGATAACTACGAGAGTACCATAATGTCAGCATAAACAGAGGAAAGAGTCTGCGAGCTGCTGCGAGGCCGTTAATGGGGCTTTGTTCAACCATGGAGCCAAACAATGCACCGCACATGAAGTGGGAGAAGAGGGCTGGTGAATCGAAGAGATAGCTTTAGATACGTAACAACACCTAAGTGTTCTAAAACAGAAATTAGCAGTAATAAATATCACATAGGTTTTGGATAAGTACGTATTAGCTTTCGGTCTAAAGATGGACCAAACCGACCAAACCCTGGCTGCAGTGCTCGCAACCAGTGGGTACACTCCAGTCACGGCCGTGGTTGCGTCACATCACTCTTTCCGGTTCCCCAACCCGTCCTCGTTCATTCCTGCGTTGAGACTAGCGTTGAGTAGCCGCCAGTCGTCCATTGCTCACCTCGTCCATTCCTCATCTCGTCCACTCGAAGCCATCCGCCGTCATGCAATCTAACAGAGGTAGATTTTAGGAGATTGATAGTTGTCTGAATCTTTTCCGCGTGATAACGTCCCAACCTCATTTTCCGTTAATGTGTGTAATAGTTTCGCCTCGGTCTCTACGTGCCTCGTGGTTGTGTGGGAGCGGTTTCCTCACTTCATGCCTCATTTTACTGGCCGTATATGGCTATCCTTAAAATCAGAACAGATTGTACATTCTTTTCCGTGGTCCTTTATTCGTTTTTTGTGTCTTTTTAACTTTCAACAACCGCTCATGAAACGCCCGTTAACCTCTCGGCGGGGTTGGTGCTTCAGTGCACGTGTCCCAACTCGCGATGTTCAAGTCTGTCGAGAGCCGCAACCATTGACTTTAAATCCCTTGAGGTTTTTCCTTTGCCCTGCCAGAGCGACCCGCAGCTATCCCCTGTACCATTCTGTATTTCAACTTCTCCTCTCATGAGAAAAGCCAGGGAAATTGAGCGTTGGTCAGGGAATGACAGAATGTAGTACAATAAAGTTCCTCTGAAATACTCCTCGAGAGGCAAGGGAATAAAAAATCATTTCGCTAAAGCTGATATTCAGAAGAATGCCAGGAATCAGAAAATGTTACAGCACAGCGATTTCTGTGTTCTTCTTCCCGCATTCTTCTGCACTTCAGCTTTACCAGAATGCTTCATTCTAATGGAAAGTCATGATTGCGTTGGCCACCCTTCAACCTTTTTATCACCCCTGCAACTGTTAATTAACAGGGCCTTTTTATGCTGATTTCAGATAATCAGGGAGCGCCTCCACAACCTGACGCAGGATCCTCTGCGACTCCTGGAAGTAGTTCTCAAGGTCAAAGTACTCCTCAACATCCAAGCTTCGCCTGTCCTGCCAATGTCAACGGTAAGTTAGTTCCATCTCACTCTTTCAAGAAGATCCTACTGAGTTCCTCTCTGCCCTGTTCTCATGATCATAATAGGCAGCCTCAATGTGCCCTTATTTTCACACTTTGCACTGGTATGAAAGCTTAAATCAGATTTTATTTTGTTGCTCAATCTAACTGTATGGTAGGCCCCATACTCTTCAGTGGTATTAGGTCTTGATACGAAATCAACTTTAATCCTCTGGACTCGTCGTGTTTGTTTCATTCCATTTACCCATATCCATTTTCTTCAGGTGCTGCGTCTCATGGGAGTGGAACGAGTCAGAGTCATGCGGACATGAGGACTCTTCTGGGCCTCCTGCCGAGTGCCCTCGCCCAACACCAGCCTTCCAGCTCGTCATTCAGTAAGTACCATCTAACTGGTGGCAACAATCTCAATCTCTTACACTCTGACTCAGCTGTAGTTTGTTGTGTATATCTCACCCATTATTTCATTGTCCAGTAATTCTTTTGATGCTCATTACAGATGCTGCGCAACAACTTGGAGGCTCAACTCCAGGAATTTCTCAAGGCAGCTCGACTCCGCTGTCGGCCACTCCAGGAACTCCCACGAATGGGATCCCAGGAACCCCCACGAATGGGATGATGGGTTTCAGTTCTCTCCTGAACTTCCTACCCACTGGGCATGTTGCTCCCGGATTTAGTAAGTCACATTTAACCAGTGTCAACCATCTTCTCCCCCCTTGATAATATCTGTAGTTAAGTCACACCGACCTAACTTGTATGCTTGCCACTAACAAGAAATTTTACGTGTTCACTTCAGATGCTGGACAACCTGTGACCCCTGGAGCATCTAATGCAAACTTGAGTAGTCTCCTAAGTCTTTTATCACCTGGCCAACCCTCTGCTCCATCTGCTGTGCCCAGCACATCTCGTAAGTGCTACTTGATCTTTGTCAACCTGCTTTCTATTATACTCTGGGTCTGAATCATTCTGACCTGCCTTGCTAGTTTTGTTAACCTTATGTTTCACTGGTCTCTTATTCAGATGGTGCTTTTGGGAGCCAGCAACCTGCAACTGTTCCATGCCCTAATGATCCAGCAGGACTCTTGGCTTCCTTGATGGCTATGGCTGCTCCCCAACAACCAGCAGGTGAATGCAATGTGGCTGCTTTTTGTACTCTGAGAGTGGTCACTAGTTTTTTCATAGCAGATTTGTATTTTTATTGTCCTAACCCCTGCCTTGTTTTCATAGTTGCGGCTCCAACCAACTCAAACGCTTTCATGAACCTCCTGTCTTCCTCGGTCCAACCTGCTGATGTCAGTTCGATCCTTGAAGGATTTGCTAACCAGCAGCAGCAGCAGCAAGTTCAGCAAAGCCGTGACAATGGTCTATCTGCTCTGATGTCCATGTTGGGAGGTGGCGGCAGTGGTGTGGCAATGGCTGGAGCCATGAATGCAGGTTGGTTTATGACAAGGGCTTGTTACATTTAAATTGTGGGATTCACAATTCAGGACTTGCCCAATAAGTTTATTTATTAAAACTAATGCCAAAGGACAGAGCCATCAAATCAATTATCTTTTTGGACTTTTTCTAATAAGAAGCGTTGTACACTAGATTGATGTTTTCTGGTATATCACCATTCTCATAATTCTTTTTCTTTATTTCCATTAGGTGGCCGGCTTCTCCCATTCGAATTCAAGAACAGCAGAGGAAGGCCGCCTAAACAGAGGAAAACTATTCTGAAGCGTTTAGGAAGCAATCTGGCCTCAATGATGCAAGCTGCTGCAGTTCAGACGGCGGGTGTATCTTCCCTCGTGCCTGCTCCTGCAATGGCCCAAGCACCAGCACAGCAGGAGCCTGCCACACCTCCTGCAAGCTCACTAGGTCTCAGATCATGCCAGGTTTGTTTCATGGAGGAGAGTGATGCTGCACTGAACTGTGGCCATTACATCTGCCAAGAGTGCCATGGGCAGTTATCTTCGCGTAGGGATTCAATTTGCCCTGGCCCATGGTGCAAGAGACCGCTCCAGGATTTGAAGTTAATCATTCTTAAACCTCTCTCCACTGATTAAATCCCACTACTTTTATATGTATAGATGTCAAATCTTGCAATGGATGTATACATGGAGAGGCTGTAAAATGATGTGCTGGTATTAACTCCCATAAGAAGTCACTTCAGTGAGATGGCCTCGCTTTGGCATCTCATATCAGTGCCTACTTTCGCC